TAAAAGATGAAAAGTAATTTCTTACATAGTGAGTCTCAGCCTCTAAAGATGACCATCCTTTCTCACTCGTGTAATGAGTATGCTTATAGAACTCGATTCTGTCAGGCTCTACTCCTTCAGGGTTAGTTTTACCCTGTGAAATAAGAAACAATTGAAATAATACTAAAGTTTCATTAGTCAAAACAATAAAAATGGTATAACTTACAAGTTCAGCACGAGCCGCTACAAACGCTTTTGACCCCATGAAATGATTACACTTAAGCTTAGTTCAATTGCCCTTGTTTATGTCGCATCGTTTCTACAAATAAAATACAAAATACTGTAACTTAAATAACAACGAGAATAATATCAATATAAATTACCTTATGCTCTGGGTTGATCCACATGTCACAAAGCCTATTCCAATTTTCTGGGGTCAACTCTGGCACTTCAATCTTACGAGCTTCTTCATCAGAGCGTGCATTTTCAAATGGTTGTTTTAACTTGTAGCGCCATTGTCGGCTTCTGTTTTTCAGAATATCCTCACAACTATCTTTCACGTAATGCTCATCCAAATTAATCTAAAACCTCTCCTAAAAATCAAATAAGTATTAAAGAAAAACACAGAACGAGCAAAATCCCTTTCATATTAAATAATAATCATTACATTTGCAAACATACTAATTAACTTCAAACTTAAGTACCCTTTGTGAATCATATATTGCAGTTCAAAAACTTTATTTACTCTCATAAACAGTGTTCTAGACAGCCGAGCTACATACATAATATCACTCTTTTCTATTTCCAGTAAGGTAATGTCACGAATTGATAAGTTAAGGATTGACTTTATATGACAAGGAAATAACAAAAATCATGTATTTCATTTTCTCAAGATCACTATTCCAAATACCTTGAAGGCTTAGGTATTAGGAACCTGACAGGACATAATAGAATCTGCTAATGAAATGGCTATGGGGGTTCAATAATTAAGATGGTGCTTTCTGGAAAAAAATGTTTTTTTTGTAAAAAATGAAATACTATCACACTTGTCCATTGTTGTATCATAGCTCCATATGTTTTTGGTACATGGAAGAGCATGGCAAAACTAAGGAATTAATTTAACCAGCAATGCAGCTGCAAACCAGGTAATGACATTCACTTTAAATATTGGGAGGATAAATGATCAAAGAACACTACTCTCCTAAGTGACTTCCCTACTCTATTCTCAATAGCCTCTGATCCAAACTCTATTATCTCCTAGAACAGAGAAAATAAATACATGGATGCAATTGTCCAGAACAAATTTTCATGATTGAAAGTTGCTACTATTACTATCAAAACTGGAATGTTGCCCTCAAAATAATCACAGGCCAAATAAAATCAAATGGTGTAGGAAGACAGATGGACAATACACAGTGATGAAAGCAAGGAATCTTCATTATGTGCTCGAAATGATATAATAGATAACTGCCTTGAAAACTCATTTGTAAGACCAAAGACCCTAGTCATATTTCATCTGAATAGTCCCTCATGAGGCCAGTCTCACTCAGGACAACCTCAGGTGAAGGGGCATGACAACAGTTAATGAATGTCTCATGTGTCAAAAAGCTTATGAGACTAACAGACACCTATTCCTTCATTGTCCAGTGACCACTAATTTTTGAAATTTATTTTTTACTATTTTTTATTTGAGTTGAGTCATGCCTGCTGATTTAAAGGATACCTACAATAGTTAGAACTCTTAAAAAGTTGATAAATCCAAAAGTTTGGAAACTGATCCTTGTATTTTTTTGGTGTGTGTGGAAAGAGAGAAACAAAAGGTGCTTTAATGGAATATCAACTTCAATCTACAACTTAAGATCAATTATGTTTTAACTTTATATTGTTAGGCTATGGTTAGACTCTAATGTCAAAATCTTTTGGACTTTGTAAACTCTTTAGTCCTAGCATAGGATACTTTTAAATGAGCTTACAATCTCACTACTTGTGTATCTATATTACTTGAATCTTTTTTATGCCATTTATCCCATTTCTTACTTTATCAAGAAAATGTAGTTCATTTCTGTGTACTCTTGAGCCATATGAAATAAGATTTTACACTACTAAACAGTGTCGAAGCAAGCATCAAAATGGTCTAAGGAGTTGGAGTAGGCACAAACAAATGCTTAAGGCAAAACCTTTACAGTTGCAAACTATAGAAGTATTGATCCTCTAGTTGTTATCTTCTTTAGATGACCCCTTAGAAAAAATTTAGGAAGGAAGCTTGAATGATTGTATACAACTAGTTGTTTTTTTCCGTATCAAGTAGTGTATCTGATGCATAGATAGTTTATTTTATAGTTTGTTAGTTATTCGTAATAAAATTCTTGTTATTTTTTTATTATAAAAACAGGAAATAAGACAAAAGAGACCATTAGTTAACTTACTATTAGATATCAACGGAGATACATATCGCTGAGTAGTTCTCCAAAAAAATAAGATGAATGAAAAATAGCAGTACCCAAAAAAAGAACTCAATATAATCACTACCATGAAATAAATTTACAAGAGTATAGATCCTTACATGGCATCTAATTAGTGCTGCATCTTTGTCCTCTCTTGTGAGTTTTTTCCACTTGTTTGGAAGCAAAAGAAAATTCCGAGCAATTATCCCTAGCTCATTGGTTAGTTTTACCGATTGATCTGGTTTAGATGGCCTTCCTTTACCAACTGGGATCTCTATTTTCATCTTTCTTCCTTGAGCCTTCTTCATGTTTTCAAGACCTTTCTCTCTAGTCTTGCCACGACCGTTCCTGATTCTAGTGGAATCATCTGATGAAAAAAGTCAGTTCAAAATACAACCTATAATCTTAAAAACATACACGTGTGACAGTAAGGCACATGATGAAAACTTAAACAACTGCATTTTTTTAATTTATTGTATATTAATGAGCAACTGAGTCAAAAAATTCACTGATAAAACAAAGAGAACATACGAGAGCTAACAACATCTATTTTGATCATTTCTATCATGTTTGCTGATTATATGTTCGCCCATATTACATAAATGTTGTTGGATTTCAAAGATGTAGATTACATCATTACAACAACTATATATTCAGAAAAAGGTTCAAATTGTGCATATTGATAGAGTAGGTAACTTTACATACCTAATTTTTATGCCATGATGAGCAAAGGAGAGTTAGCCAAACATAAACCAAGTCTAAATAGAAATGCTTACATGTAATCTATGGCAGCATTTTCAGCTTCTTAGAGTCAATTTGTGTAGCTTATATAGCATATTGATAAAGTAAAATCAATTGCAATTGCTCATACAAACAACCAATGACTTTCATGTTATGAAAAATGCACCTAAGATTATGGATGATGTGATGAAACACTTCGTTTAAAATGTTAATATATCATAGATAACTTTAAGATTTAAATCCACAAATCTTGAGTTGATTGGATTACAAAAATAACAGCCAAGATCATCATAAGAATCATTCGAGTAACTCGGAAGTACATGTAAAAGAGGAGATTAAATTAAAGAAGATAATAGAAAGGACAAAATAAACCTAGCATTCAATAGCTCAATATCAGATACTCGGATATTGAGCTATCGTCCATATTTCACGTAACAAGTTTAACATAAATAAAAATTTCAATGGTTAATATTTTCGGTTCCAACTTAGTCAATAACTAAATAAATTAATCCTAATCAATATAATAAAATGTATTACTTGTATTCACAGCAGGAGTATGGTTTGATTCATCTAGTGATTGAGTATCTTGAATTGTTTCCCCTGTAAGTGTAGTTTGCTTAAAAACACGTCCACCCGGTGCCATCAATTTGCAGAGTTCTATTAAAATAGAAAATGTAAGTTTAGAATGTTAATAAGATATAAAATCCAATGGTTTAACAAAAATAGTTATGTAAAAGCACCAATCATTGACAACTAAAGGAAAATCTAAAAAGAACATAATCATTAGTTCAGAAAATCTTGCACACGCCATTTATTAATATATAAGAGTTTACTGTCTATCGAACTATTGAAGAATCTCTAGAAGATCAAATAACTAGTATAACATATCAAAGATATATTTATGCCGAAAATATGTTCAAATTTGAAGACACAATAACTTTTTCGAAAGCTTATATAAGAGAAGGTCTTAAGAAGAGGTTGTAGATCTAAAAAATGTCGAGCCTCGTGAAGAAATGCCTATTGTTTTTAGCAAAACGATTAATTGTCCTACAGAATATTCATCTCAAATGATGTTGTTTCAGTTCATCCGAATTCAAAGTTCCATCAACCTATCCTAACTCAAGTTCAATAAGCATAATTTGACAGCCTTGAATACCATGTTTCACAATCCATCCTATCTTCCTTCGAAATCTGAGGGAGAACATCAATATATAAACAAACCAGAGGAAAAGTTGTTCCAAAAGAAGTCTTGAATAGTGTATACTTCACTAGTATGTTTCACACACAAACTGTAAATATGCACACCACACGAAACTGAAATCTACATAATAGGTTAGAGTGTTTGTTTTCCAAAAACTTATAACTAACTATATGAAATAAACATAGAGCAAGATCAATGGTTGTTTCACAATAATCAATGAATAATCATTCAATATATGATTGCCACATATAATTATCTGTCTAATTTTGTTCAAACGTAAAATAAGACTGATACATACCTGGTCTTGTTCAGGTTCAGAAACTTTGCTTCACATTGTAATTGAAACTTTTCCGTCTGTTTTCTCATATATATGGTGGTTATCCTGAAATTCTTTTGGAGCCAAAAAAACAAAAAAAATTAGCGCCAAAAGACAGTTTTTTTTCCATTTCTCTGCTTTCTGTAACTTTATTTGGTGGGTGAACATGAAGAAGTGAAAGAAGTAGTGGAGCTTATTAACCCAGAAACTTAGGAAGTGGAGAAGTGCGTGGTCAACTTTTTTTTTAGGATTTTAACATTTATCTTTTCCTCCACTTAATATTTTAAAAATAAAATTACACACAAAAGGACATAATGTCGATCAATACTTTAGAAAAAATAAATTGCACACACAAAAAGTCATAAATGTCCAACAATTTTATTTATCAAAATAAATTTTGAAGGTAAATTCTTTATGCTTAGAACTAAAAAGGAAATCAGGAAATGGCTTCACTTGAATGGAAAAAGTAAATTACTTAGAATAATAACATTAGTAACAAAGGGAAAAACTATTGCATTCATATCAAAGATCTCAAAAAAAATATAAAATCAATGTCGATTGGACTAACAATTGTACCTCTTTTAGCTGAAACCCAAAACCCTAGGCCTTGTACTTCTGGTTGATAATCCTAAAAAACTTGAATCGCTAGAGAACCCACTTCGGAAATCAAGGATCTGACTAAGAGCAACACGCTCGAGCACTTTTTTGTCTTCAGTCAGCTGCGATTCTGTTGCTAAACAAACAAACCATAGCAAGAGAGATAGTGAAGACATCGATGATGATTTTTGAGCTAACATGCAAAGCTCCAAACCTCTGAAATCGAATCTGTAGTAGCTCTACATCAGAGATAACGAACTCTTCGAATGGATCAACTTGTGTACTTCGAAAATAAAGAATAGTTGAGTTAGTAAAATTAGGGGAGAAGAAAACTTGGGAAGAAAACAATTAGGGGAGAAGAAAGGAGATGAAGTGGCTGAGTAGAGAAGATGGGAGCTGAAGAGTTTCCATAACTTTCCTAATTTCCTAATTAATTATCATCTAATGAAATTTCACTTCTCTTTGAATTTTGGGCCTATATTGGGCAATGTTTTTGTTTTGTTTTCTTGAGATTGGTACGACACACATTATATATATATATATATATATATATATATC